GCAGGAATGTGCAAAGGGGTTTAAGATGGCTAGGATGGGATTAAAGTCGTGTAAAGCAACAAGTCGAGCAGTAGTAGATGTTAATAAATGGGGTTGCAGTGATGCAACCATTTTCTGCTCCTTCGAGAATGGTGGCTCCAGATGTCTCCTTTAGCTGCTGTTGCAGTGGGCGTGTTAGGAATAGAACTCTAACATGCATTGGTGGGAAGCACTGGCCAGGGAACGCAACAAATGGAGTGTCACACAAGAAGGATTCAGCTTGGTAGTGTGCAGATAATACCATGCATAAATCTCATCTCCTGGTCTCTTCCAGGGAGAGATGGGCTGGCTTCATCCAGGGCTTCTGGAGAGCCAAGTGGACTTGGGAGGATCCAGTGGTAAACCCATGGACACTACTGTGGTCTGCATAGCTTTGATCTGTCTTTCCTGTGGACACTGACTTATGAGTTACCAAAATGGGTAACTAATAATGCATTTAAGGATCCATTCTTTGACAGCTCTTTGCACGTGTTTGAGTAGTCCTTGGACTGTTTGGTTCTTGGTGGATTTCTTTCCCTTGTTTTCGATAACCTAGGAAATCTGGGCTCTCTTTCTTCCTTTTGCAACATCAGACTGAAATTAATTCAAGCCAGGCCAGATTCTGACCACAGGTATGCCAGTGTAAATTTGAATGGAGTCGCTTACGTCTTGTTTGGCTTGATCTGAATGGAGTTGCTTCTGTTTGATGCCAAAGGGGCTGAGGTCAGAATCTGGCCCATCCTTTCCTGCATGCAGTGTAATTTGTATGTGTCTCCTGGCACTGCTGCGGTATCATATGGCTTATGTAATGCTGTCTCTGGCCTGTCAAAGTGCATTGCAATATCTATCACTGTGAGTGCCTGTTTCGGAAATACGGTCTGTCTTGTAATTGCCCACATGAATCGCGCATACTTTGCAGAGCAGAGGCTGAAAGCCCAAGGAACCCTTCTGATCTGAGGAGCCGCGCAGTATAACTGGCTTCGTGAGCAAAAACGAATGAAAGTATGTATATATTTATAGGCTTCTGATATTTAAATTAAAAATGAACACAGAGGAGGGAGCTCGTAAAGAATTAGTTGCACGGAGATAGAGCGTGCTGCGCTGTGCAGGAGCCATTAGCCATGTCCCAGGTGGGCACCAATCGTTCCATTAACACAGGCTGGAAAGGCGATTAGCTCTGCTGCTCCCTCTGCCCCTCCTACTCACAACGTCTGCGCCCCTCTGGCTTCTTTTCTCCGAGTCCTGGCGTGCACGGCCCCTCGCCTGCTCGGCCTGCCACCGTTTGCTTGCTTTTGCTCTCCTCCGCCTTGCTCCCTCCTGTCAGAAAGCCGAGCCTGGTCCCAGCGCCTTGGCTGTGTGGGGTTTTTCCTTTCATTTTAAATATTTCTCCGTTGTGTTTTTGTCCCAGAGACACATGGAATGATTTATCCGTGTCCGGAGCTGAGTTTGGTCTTGACGCATTCCGCTTGTCGGATGGGGGCCGAAACATTCCCCAGCTGGCACTGGGCTCGGCATGCGAGGGACCAGCGCCCGCAGGCGGGCGCAAAGGGAGGGGAGGCCAGCGGGGAGGCTGGGAGCCCTCTCTGCTCCTCTGGAGGGGTCCCATTTATAGGCAGCTGGGGCAAGTCTGAAATGGGTGGCTTCCTCAACACGTGTCAAGGGTGTGGATTTGCCTTCGTTAAAAAGGGCCCATAATGAGATGGCAGCGTAGAAGTTCTGGTAGCAGATATATCCCATTTAAGGGACACACGCTGGTCATTTACACCCGTTCGCAGCTTCTCCACTGCCCTCAGCTATTTCCTACCTCCAACCATATCTCCCTTGGGAGCTGTGCTGACATCTAGCCCGAGTGTGGCCACAGTGAGGGTAGCTGGTCCAGGAGAGGGCTTGGAGCGAGGCAGGCTGAGGTGCTTGTGTGGGCTGTTGGCCTGGCCTTCTCTCAGGCCTCAGCATCTCTGCCCACTGCTGGCCCACAGCACCAGGCGAGTGGTGTGCCTGGATGTGTCACGCTGCCTTGTAGTGAGTGCACCAGCA